TTTCATTGCAGTAATACAAAATTGACTAATAATGGCTACTGCCAAAGAGTTTCCAAAGTGATTGGACCAATTTATACTTCTACCAGCAGTGTATGAAAGTTTTATCTTCTAATACTGTTACAAACAATTGGAACCATAGGCTATTTTATTTTAGCCATTCTAACTGGTAAGTAGTGGCACCTTTCTATGGTTTTAATTTGCACTTCCTTGTCAACAAATGAGACTAGGAATACGATCCCTTGAGAATACTGCAACTAAGAAAGATTAAGTGGTGGACAAATGAGCAAAACCTAAATTTCCTGGCTGTAACCTATTGCTTTTCTTGCTCCTCCAAACAATATTCCAAAAATATCAGTGTTCTGGCAAGGCCATCAAACATGTCACATCCCTGCCTCTCCATCTCAGCTCCAACAGTTACTAGCTCTGTGACTGTGCACAAGTGACTACAGCACAGTGCTAAGAAGTAAAGGCCTCTTCTGTAAGAAAGGGATTAAAGGCACATGGTATACGCTCAACAAATGTTAAATTTTCCTCTTTCAAATGCTTCAATACTATACTTGTCAGATAATAAGTACTCTCTAACATGCCGATTTGGAATCTCAAGTTTAATCTACTTTGCTCATCTTTTCTTTCATTTTCTTCTTATAACCATAAACACATTTTCTCTCTAATCTTGCAAAGTCAGTTTCTCTTTAGGTAAATAAGATGATACAAATAATTTCTCAACTTGTCTGAATTCCTCTTCTTTGCTCTTCTTCATAATATTGCAGCTTCCTCAATATTCTTATTTAACGAGAAAGCTTAGAAGACATCTATGTTCACTTTTATCTTGATTGCTTTAACTAAACAGTTGTTTGGCTGAAGCAATGGAAAGACTGAAATGGAGACAAATATCAGTAGATTAGCAAGAAATGTAAAAGTCTATTACACATAAACATACTTCTCCTCCTTATATTCCTTACCTTTATAATTCAAAGTATATTTCTTCTTATTATTTATTGGTACTAGAAATTGAACCCAGGGGTGCTTTATCATTGAGCTACATCCCAGCCCTATTTACTTATTTAAAAGAATTTCTTTTTTAGTTGTAGATGGACACAATACTTTTATTTTGTTTGTTTGTTTATTTATTTTTATGCGGTGCTGAGGATCGAACCCAGTGCTTCACACATGCCAGGCGAGTGCTCTACCACTGAGTCAGAACCCCAGCCCCTATTTTTTATTTTTATTTTTTTTTTAAATTTTGAGACAGGGTCTTGCTAAGTTTTGGAGGCTGGCCTTGAACTTGTGATCCTTCTGCCTTAGCCTCCCAAGTCACTGGGACTACAGGAGTGCACCTCTGTGCCTGGCCTGATCTGTCTCTTTCAAATGATCAAATATGCTTGGTAATTTAAAAGATATCCTTATATATGCCAGTGAAGAAAAACTTAAGACTACATGATTTCAGAGAATCTTAAAGATGGTTAGTACCTTACAGGAAATCAAACCAAATCCTCTGATTCTACAGAAGGAGAAACAGATGGACAATTGGAGAGACTCATCTATGGTAATACATTTGAGTAATAACAGCTGGATTTCAAACCTAGAACTAGCAGCTCTCATTCTGGGGTAGTTTTCATTACCCCACAGTGCATATCTTCTTTTTTTTTTTCTTTTTTCTTGGAGGGGTTGGAGGAAAGGAAGAAGAAAGACTATAACTGTAGAAATATACAATTTTACTATGTATTAACCTCTTAGCCCAGAGTTCCATGTGTAGGTTAAATATTTTCCTAGCTTTCTCTTTTGATTTCCTAGAGAAAACACTGATGAAACACACCTTTCTTATTTTTTAAGACTGCACTGCATCCCTTGCAGAAACCCTTGTAACCCTATCTGCAACCTGTAATTAGAGCCTTACTAAGAGAAATCCAGAATTTAGTCATCTGCCCAAAAGTCTACATATTCATTGCTGAAAAAAAACATGGAATACATGGAGTAGAAGCAGGCACTTTACACCAGTAGAATGATAAGAAATCTAGGTGGCTGATATGTTATAATCTAAGGCTAATGTAAACAGTTTAACTAAATGATATTTGAATAATTTAGCAATGATAAGCTGTATACCATAGTACTATATGAATTGTGGAAGCACACAAAAGTTCACTGTGATGCTTTCATAGTTTCAGACCACATTACCGGAAAGATTGTGCTATAATGAAGGCCTGACAGTATTTCCAGAGGTAAGAAGTGTGTGTGAGTGCAGTCTCTGAGAGAACTGGCTTTTAAGAACTCTCATTATATAGCAACATGTTATATGGCAACACATGCAAACATTATGATGCTAATATTCCAATAAAGCTTTTAGCACAATTTAGAAGGTAATGACAGACAACTTCACACTCACTGATTACTTACCATCCAAACACTGGGCTACGTGTACTTTTCATATATTACCTAATTTAATCCTTTGAACTCCAGAAAATATCATTTCATTTTTACAGGCCAGGAAACTAAAATTTAAAGAGATTAGGCAGTTTATCTAAGATGAAATAGTTGATACTATACAGACCTTGGACTTGAACCTAAGAGTGTCTGAGTCTAGGGCCATTAGACTTTTCCTTTATACTGTGTTGTCATCACTAACAATATTTAGAGTAGAAGCTTTTTTTTTTTTTAAGCTTCCTACCAATTTCCTTAGCAAATCAAGTCATGATTATGTGTCCACTATGTGTCTAAAACTGTGTTTGGTTCTATTTATCCATCCATCCATCTACCAATTAGATATTATTACCTGCTATGTCCCAGGCATTACGCTAGGTCCTAAGGTTACATTGGTGAGTGAAAAAGAAAACCTCAAGACAGAGAAAAGAGTGATTAAACATTTATGCACATAGACACAAACTTACAATTGTATTAACGGTTATGATGGATTAAAAGTTAGTAGCTCTGGCTGGGCGCAGTGGCTTATGCCTATTATCCCAGCAACTTGGGAGGCTGAGGCAGGAGGATCAGAGTTCAAAGTCAGCCTCAGCAACTTAGCAAGGCCCTAGGCAACTCAGTGACACCCTGTCTCAAAATAAAATACAAAAAGGGCTAGGGATATGGCACGTGGCTAAGTGCCCCTATGGTTCAATATTGGTACCAAAAAAAAAGGCTGTGGATTTAACAGGGGATCATTTCTGATCTTAACAAGGGCCACTTTAGTGGCATGATAGAGGCAGAAACCATATTGGAGGGAATGAGTAGTGAGCAGTAGATAGTGTAGTTTTATAAAACCCTGAAGGAGAGTTTACTTTGAGAAAGAAAAACTTATAAGGAGACTATGAAAAATACATTGCTACAAAGTTTTATTTATTCTTTAAGCACTGCAGAAATCTAGAAAAGGAACATTCGAAGTGGCTGGGTAACCCAGGAAAGTGTTTACAGAGAAGGAAAGTCTTAAGCAGAGAACCTAAAGGGATGTAGAACTGAGTTTTAAAGTACTCCATTTAGGGATATTACATGAGGGGGAGGGGGAGAAGAGGGAGGGAGGGGGGAGGGGGAGAAGAGGGGGGGGAGGGTGTTGGTACAGGGTAGGGGGCTGAACTGCAATCAGTCTCTCTGTGCTGTAGTTTTTCTTTTATAAAATGGAGGAAACTAAGTTTCTTGGCAAAGTTGTTAGTTGTTTCAGGATTTTGAGATGAGATGATAGTACGTGACTCACAGCAATCTAGTAAATTATAGCTAGAACTGTTTTATTAATACTATATGAGAAACAGGAAATATACTCAGATAACCTTGTATACTAAAGATGGGGCATCTTGTTTACTAGTGGGGCTTAACCTTCATTTCCCACAAGTTATTTGACAGGCACAGAAAAAGTATCAGATAGCAAACTTTAGTTTTGGGGCCTAATTTGAAATAAATATATTTGTCTCACAGACCTTTATAATTAATGGTATTAAATATAACCTATTGAATAAATATTTTAAAAGTCAAAATATATTCTTATATTATAGCTAATTTTGTAAAGGAGAGAAAAGAGACAGAATAAGAGAAATAAGGGGAAAGTAAACCAGAAAAATAAAAAGCAACTAAAATTAAGAATGAAAAGAACAGAGAATAAAAAAGGGTAGAGATCAGAGACAGAGGAACTACAGGCAGATGGAAAAGACACAGATGAGATCTGTGAGATCTGGCCAAGGAGGCTCTGCCTAGAACTCCTTGATTCCTCCATAGTCACCCCTCACTATTTCTTTTTATAGCCCAGACCAAAGTACTCCAATGAAGCTGCCTGCTCCTCTGCCTGATCACACCAAAGCTATATCATCTGTTGCCCAGCCTGTTTCTCTTCCCAGGAGTCTTTTATTCAGTACCACACTCCGCAGCAGACCTGGCATGACTACACAGTGTCCTAAGCCCACTTCTCAGTCACTTAAACAAAAACAAAACAAAACAAACCTCCCCCTACAATTGCATCTGCTAAACTAAGGACACCTTGAGATAGAAACAAGTTTTTTTTTTTTTAATTTAATAGAACACTAAAATCTTTGGGAATGCTTGTCAGGAGGTGCCTTTATAAAACAAAAATGGGCTGGGGCTGGGGCTAGAGTGCTTGCCTAGCATGTGCAGGGCCCTGGGTTCGATCCTCAGCACCACATAAAAATAAATAAATAAAGGATTGTGTCCGACTACAACTAAAAATAAATAAATAAATAAAAATATTAAAAAAACAAAACCAAAAAATTTTGGCAGTATTGGGGATTGGACACAGGGTTGCTTTACTACTGAGGTATACTCCTAGTCCTTTTTATTTTTTATACTGAGACAAGGTCTAAATTGCTGACTTGAACCTCCTGCCCCCAGCCTTCCAAATCACTAGGATATAGGCACACGCTGTGGCCCCAGTCTGAAAAGCTATCATTTTTGAGATATTGAAAGAGTGATTTTTAAAAATATGCCGAAAGCTAAATGAAATTAAATAAGGGGAAAATCCAAACTCTGAGATGATGCACCCCAATTTATTTAGTATCTCTTCTTACTGTGTGCTGAGGGCCATCTTCATTATCCCTCATGTAGAAAGGCTTGAGTGCTAATGGATAGTTTATGACGAAGACTGGTATGTCGCCACAGTGCTTCACCAGGTACTTCTCATGTTCAGTTTGTAGATCAACACCCCACTGTAATGAGAAAAAAGGAATGATAACGGGAGAAGGCAGAGCTAAAATACTCAATAAAGCCCCCCAAAATAACCTGTATCAGTTCCAAGGGCTTCTTTTCCCTGAGGCGCGGTGATGTGTAGAGCTGTCTGCTGAGGTTACACAGCTGACTAAACTAAAGAAAGATACTTGTTAAAAAGAACAGCCAAAGGCTTGGAGGGATGAAAGCTGAACCCACAGAAAAACACCAAGCTTTCTGTCTGTCTCAGGGAGCAGCATTCAGCAGGTGAATAGCACAGGCAAGAAAACAAAGTACACTTTGTAGACGAATAAAACTGACTTCAGAATTTTAGTTTTTATTAATATTGCCTTGAGCTTCTCCCATAGTCACTGTTCCTAAGTCTCAGGAAATTAAATGACGGAAGATAAAATTCCTAATATTGAGCCCAGCTTTGGCTAGATGGTCTCTCTTGGGATTTTTTTTTTTTTAATAAAAGCGTCAACTCATATCAGATGCTCTTTGATGAATATTTAATAGCACTGTTCAATCTATTTACTCAGCAAATACTAATGTGCTTATTAAAATCTAGATATTAGATATGGTGGTAAGAAAATAGTTACAATTCCTGACTTTGTGAAACTTCTAGGGTGTGAGATAAACTTTAAACTAAAATCATACAAAGAATTAATTGATTATAAATCAAACTAGCAGAGTTATGTTAAAACTTACAAAGGCATCTGACAACTGGGAGGGAACTGGAGTAAGGGATATTTGAGGACAAAGGCATTACATTCTTAACATTACCTTATTATTCCCACTTGTCTGGCAGTAACTTTTCTTTTATTCTTTATTCACTTTAAACAAGAAATTTATTTAAACAATAACATGCTTGACTTCAAAGTAAAACTACCTAGGCTTTTTTTTTTTTTCAATTGCAATTTACTACTAAAGACAAATTGTACTACATGTTAACAGCTACATATTAAAAATACATATTAAAAAGTTATAAAAATCTTCTTGATTTTAAGATGACAAATGAAAAAACACTAAAATTCTAACAATTAAACAAGGCATGTAAAAAAAAATTTTTTCCCCTTTTGGTATTGCAGATCAAATCCAGCATCAACTCCACGACTGAGCTGCATACCCAGACCTATTTATTTTTTATTTTGAGACTGTGTCTTGCTAAATTAATGAGGCTGACCTTCAACTTGTGATTCTCCTGTCTCAGGCTCCAGAGTTGCTGGGATTACATTTGTGTATCACCATACCCAATGTGTGTATCACCATACCCAGCAAAGTATACAAAGCTTTTTATGTTGTTGTTGTGAAAACAGTGAGAGCAAAATAACTTACTCAAATATAAAGAGTTGAATTAGCATACCAGTAATGGAGAAAGCAGGTATTTTCACAGAACCAATACAGAATCAATATTTTTCCCTATCATATTTCCATTTGATGCCAACCAAAACATACTATTGTCCAGTTACTTAAAAAAAAAAAAAAAAAAAAGGAACGTATTCCTTCAAGGACACCAGTACTTTATGTACAATAAAGGAATGGGAAAGGGGAAAAAAGAATAGAATAGAGAAAACAATACTGTAGTAGTCAGGACATGCTGGAACCAAATTGCAATTTTCTGATTGAGAATGTATTCTTTTTTTTTTTAAATTTTTTATTGTGGGTTGTTCAAAACATTACAAATTTCTTGACATATCATATTCCACACTTTGATTCAAGTGAGAATGTATTCTTGGTCTGTAAGAACAGAGTTCTGGAATAAAGTAGCAGGTTCCCTTCTTAGTAGACAACCTGTGCCTGCTGCTGAAGCACATCAGTTGTATCTCCATCCTCCATTTCCAGCTATGTAGGTGTGTTTCACTAATTGCTGCTCATGAAACTAGAATGATCTACCTCATTAAAAACCCTGTCCACAATAGGCTTTTACCGGTTCCCTAAATGGTTTGTGCCTCTTAAACTGCACACCATGGAACCATCCTTCTCCTGCCACCTTCAAACTGACATGATTGTTATAGTCTTGAGTTCATTCTTGGACTTTTTGTCAGCCATGGCAAGTTCCAGAGTTTCTTCAGTTGTTGTTTTAACGAAAGAGGAACCAGGTCCACACCAAAGGCGCACATGAACAGTGCTAGGAGCAGTAGAAGGAGGCAGCAGTGGTAGATGAAGAAGAGGCATATGCACCTGCCTGGTAATATTTAAAGTACAGGAATAAAGGACTGGAATAGAAACAAAGACACTGCCTCTAACACTGGGGCTCTCTAGGCCTATATTTTTGCCAGTAGAATAAAGGAGATCCTGTACAGAAATGAAGAATAGAATAGAGGTTGCCAGGGTTTGGGGCTGAGGGAAATGAACAGTTGTCATTCAAAGGGTATAAACTTTCAGTTATAAGTTGAACAAATTCTGGGGATCTAAATTACAGGGTGGGTGATGATGGATATCTTCATTAACTTGATTGTGATCATTACATCATGCATACATGTCAAATCATCACCTTGTGTACCTTGAATATATACAACATGAAGCAATTAAGTGTTAAAAATGAAGGAGTTCTTAAAAAGGAGCTATTTGGCCTGTAATCCCAGTGTCTTGGGAGGCAGGAAGATTGTGAGTTCAAAGCCAGCCTCAGCAAGGTGCTAAGCAATTCAAGGAGACCCTGTCTCTAAATAAAATACAAAATAGGGCTGGGGATGTGGTTCAGTGATTGAGAACCCCTCAATCCAATCCCTGGTATCCCCCAGTCCTCCCCCAAAAGAGCTATTTGGAGAGGCTCAAAATTAAGTCTATAAAGTTCAACTGAAAAAGAAATTTGGTTAATATGTTGACTAACCTTATTTCATCATATAACCTCTTTTATCTGTTACCTTTTAACATCATTCAGAATAAATTTTGGGAAATAATTAACCATTTGATTTCCACAGTAATATTACATGACTATTATTCTTTTTTTAGGATTTTCATCTTTCTCAACTTGGTATACTCCTTTGTAATCCTTCAGGCACTGCTATTTCAAATGCTACAATTTTATTTCAATTTACAATTTTATACTTTTTTCATCTTAAGTATTTTAACAAGGTCCAGCAAAGGTATAGAAGAACGAATACTATATGTTGCTAGTAAGAGAAATAAGTTTATTTTGAAGAATTTTTTTTTCTTTTATGTGCCAGAGATTTAACCCAGGGGCACTTTATCATCAAACCACATCCCATATCCCTTTTTATTTTTTGTTTTTGAGACATGGTTGCATTAAATTGCTTACAGTCCTGATAAGTTGATGAGGCTGGCCTTGAACTTGCGACCCTCCTGCCTCAGGCTCCTGAGCCACAGGGATTACAGGCATGTACTACCACACAATAAGAGGGAAATATATTACACACATGCACACATTACAATACTACCTCTGGAGTGAAGGTAAAGTTTTGTGATGCTCGCTGTAAGATCTCTATGGCCTCCGTGTAAGAAATGCTGTAGAACAAATAAAAGCAGAGAAAGGTTAACACTCAAGCTAGAGGATGTGGGTCACTGGGGGTGTGCCCTAGAAGGGCTCAACTTCCCAATGGCCCCTTCCCCCCTTTCCCTCTGTTTTCTGGCTGTCATAAATGGATTTGCACTCCTCCATCATGCCCTTCTGCCATCATGTTCTGTATCTCCTTGGGCCCAAAGCAATGGACTTGGCTGACCATGGACTCAATCTCTGGAATCATGAACCAAAATACACTTTTCCTCTTCTAAGTTGGTTTTGTTAAGTATTTTGGTCACAGTAACACAAAGGTAATATAATAACTGGAAAGAGTTTCATTTTATAGTATAAATAAAATCCCCAAAGCTATGTTTTAATAGGTTTTATGTTTAAGATGAAAATTCTATTCAAATTAAAACTTAATATTAAATAATAGGTAATATCTAAGGTAATAATGTTGATGGCAGTGTTTAGTAGAATTTAAAAATTAGTACTTTATAGAAAAGAAAATGAAGCTTAGAGAGGATCAGTACCTTGCCAAACATCAGTCATAAAAAGTAAGTAATATACACTGATCTCTTAACTCCAAAATCTAAGTTTTCAACTGCTAAGATACTTGGAGTTTCATATGTTTAATCAACACATTGAGTTCTTCCCCTGATTCTACCACTTACTAGCTATGTAAATCACCTCAACTCAGTGAAAGCATGTTATTAATTTTTGTAATATGCTATACAAACATTAAAAATTAAGTATTCATACTTGTAAAAGGAGATTGGACTACCTTGTCTGGAGTTCTTTCCTGCTTAGACATTCTATTGTTCTATTTCATCAATTACTTTATATGACCTACCAATTACACTGAGAAATATTAAAAGCAGTCAAAAGGGGAAGCAGTAAGATTTTATAACATTGTTACTATTCCATTATCAAGTCAAAATGACTCTAAATATTGCTGTTCTAATTCTCCCACACCTTAATTTAGGGCAAAGACTCAAGTTCAAATTATAGTCTGACAATGGATTTCCTTAGTGGCCTTCATCAACTCTCCCTACTATTTTTAAAAAAAATATATTTGTTTTTAGTTGTAGGGGGACACAATACCTTTCCTTTCCTTTTTTTTTTTTTTTTAGAGAGAGAGAGAGAGAGAGAGAGAGAGAGAGAGAATTTTTTAATATTTATTTTTTAGTTCTTGGCGGACACAACATCTTTGTTTTGTTTGTGGTGCTGAGGATTGAACCCGGACCGCACACATGCCAGGCGAGTGCGCTACCGCTTGAGCCACATCCCCAGCCCCTCCTTTCTTTTTTAAAAATATTTATTTTTTAGTTTTAGGTGGACACAATATCTTTATTTTATTTTATGTGGTGCTGAGAATCGAACCCAGTGCCTCACGCATGCTAGGCGAGCATGCTACCACTTGAGCCACATCCCCAGCCCCCTTTTCCTTTTTTAAAAAAAATATTTTTAGTGATGAACACAACATCTTTATTTATTTATTTTTACATGGGGCTGAGGATCAAACTCAATGCCTCACATGTGCAAGGCAGGTGTTCTACCACTGAACCACAACCCCAGCCCCCTATTTTACTTTCTTTCTTTTTTTTTAGTTGTAGATGGACACAATACCTTTATTTTATTTGTTTATTTCTATGTGGTGCCAGGGATTGGATCCAGTGCCTCATGCATGCTAGGCAAGTGCGCTACCATTGAGCCACAACCCTGGCCCCCCTATTTTTCTTAATATGTATAAATATTTCTTCTTTCTAGAGACCATTTCCAATGTGCTTTCCAATGAAGAAAGGAGAAAGAGACATTTTGACATAGCATGACACAGCATCAAACTATCTTCATATTTCAAATTTTTCATTGTTGAATGAAGACAAGACACTATTCTAAAATTGTTAGAGTAAAACTGCCAAGGTAAAGAGATTAAAATTGACATTCTGTAGTTGTGCATGCTTATAATCCCAGCAGCTCGGGAGGGTGAGGCAGGAGGATCCCAAGTTCAAGGCCAGTCTCAGCAAAACTAAGGTGCTAAGCAACTCAGTGAGACCCTGTCTCTAAATAAAATACAAGATAGGGCTGGGGATGTGGCTCAGTGATTGAGTGCCCCTGAGTTCAATCCCCAATAATCCCCCATCCTCATTGACATTTCTTTGCCTTAAATTCACAAAGACAAATAAATTGAGAGCAAATAAAGAAGATAAGTACTCTATATATTTTCGAAATCTTTTAATAGTATAAAGGAAATGTAAAAGAATTGAATCCTACCTGAACTTCTACTGCATAGGGGATAAATTCACTGTACAGGTCCCTTGACACATTTTGATATAGAACAGTTTTAACTGAAGGATACACTGAATTCTATTTATTCAAAATGATACAGGCCATGTGGAGTCTGCATGGATTAGACAATTAATGGTGTAGATCACATAAAGGACAAGTTTCTTTCTTTTGCCAACTCCCCCTTTTTTTCCTCACATTAAAGGATTAGTCACAGGTAGATTCAGTTATACCTAAAATGTACAGGAACTTCAGAATCCATGCCTTGGGGAGCATGAAGCAACCAGAGTGATGACGGCAGTAGGGAGGGCACCGCCATACAGACCACTTCCCATCTCATCGCTCATTACATTAATGGAATATTCACTGCCAACACACCGTCACCACCCCATTACACTTTCTGTGCACACTCTTAACACTGCGAAAGTATTGTCTGACTTAAGAAGTCTACGTTAATCAGTATCTTTCCCTTCCTTCCAAATAATACAAGGACTAACACACTTCAACTAGGACACTAACACTAACACTTCAACTTCACTATATGGTGTCACATGATATTAAGGTCCAGGATTTTAGTTCTAAGGTGAAGGATCCTCTCCCCAACCAACGATGTGAAAATATTATTTTATCATCCTATTGTCACTATTGTTATTAGAATTTCTTGGGGATCTAATCATTCTATTTCTGTGGTGGTTGCTTATGGTAGAGTATCCTTCCTGCCTCCATATTAGGCATTATAAGTAATCTAGAGGTAATCTAAAGTATACAGGAGGATGTGCATAGGTTTTATGTAAATTCTATGCCATTTCATGTAAGGAACTTGAGATCTATGGATTTTTTTTATCCATAGGGGGTCCTGGATAGAGATTCCAATGAAATCCTTGACAGGTACTAAAGAATGACTACTTAAGTTGAATTGTAGTAACATAGCTTATTAATTACTATGTTCATTTATCTTGGCATGACTTATTAATTTATTTATTCATGACACACTGATTATCAACTATAAATAAACCAGACATAAGAGCTATAAACATAACTAGAACTTGAGTCTTGCCACAAATTTGGGGAGTGTGGGAAACAGATACATAAACAAAAAAATTATAACTCAATGTGATAAATTCAATGATAAAGTATAAATAGAGTTCAGAAAAAGAATAATGTCTACTTACATTAAAAAGTTGTTTTTTAGCATATGTTCTAATCTGTCCTTGGTAAGAAAAGACAAAAATGAAAAAAATTTCAAAATGTAATTATATTCATTATGTGTAATTTAAGATACTTAGAGAGCAGCTTTATCAGGCTTTATCTACAAAACTAATTACCTTGTGTCCAGGAGCTATGAATTTGTGACAGAGTTCAACATCTTCAGGACAATTTGAAAGAACAGTCATTGTTGTGGTCTTGAAGAGTCCTTCCATAATCTAATGAAAAACGACACAGACTTGCCTGAAGTGAACAACTTATACAAAATACCTCTGAAGACCGCTCTCCAGGTTTCACTGACTATAAATCCATTAATCTTCTTAATCCCTGAAAATACTGTAGCAAAATAGTTCAGTTTTCCAGGCAGCTCAATTTCTTCTCAGAGAGGAAGAAAAAAGGAAAGGAAGTTTGAATTTTGTGCTAACAGTTTTAATACTGGTATTGAAGTGAGATATGAAATGAACAGTTTTAACTGACTGATGTCTCAACTGAATATCTATAAGCCCACTTGTAGAATCAGGACAACAGTAGTGCCTACTTTACAGGACTGTTGTGAGAATTAAAATGAGATAATCCATGTAGCAGGCTTGGCTTAGTACCTGGCTCACAGAAGCACAGAAGTATTAACTGTTGTGAAGTATAAGAACATTTTGAAAAGGGGTTCTGTCAGTCATTGGTAAATGAAGTAAACTTTAAAATCCGAGAGGCAATGAGATATATCTAAACATCAATGTTTAATTTTTGTTTGGTATAAAGCATAAAGTAAAAATAATATGAATCAGCATATAATTTAGGATTAAATTTACCAGGGTATCCATAGAAGCCTCATGGGAGAAACTTGTTTTGAGAAGAAAATAGTAACTGGAATGGAAGATATTTCTTTTTATTTTAAAATTTATTCTAATTAGTTCTACATGACAGTAGAATGCATTTTGACATCTTTTACACAAATGAAGCACAACTTCTTCCTCTGGCTGAACATGGTGCAGAGTCATCCCAATAATGTAATCATTACATGTATATAGGGTAATAATGTCTATCTCATTTCACCATCTTTCCCACCCCCACACCACCTCCCTTCCCTCATTCCCCTCCGCACAATTCAAAGTTCCTTCACCCCCACATTATGGATTATCATCTGCTTATCAGAGAAAACATTTGGCCTTTGGTTTTTTGGGTTTGGCTTATTTTGCTTAGTGACTTTCTTCAGCTCCATCCATTTATCTGCAAATGCCATAATCTCATTCTTCTTTAAGGCTGAGTAATATTCCATTGTGTATATGTACCAAATTTTCTTCATCCATTCATCTGTTGAAGGGCATCTAGGTTGGTTCCATAGTTTAGCTATTGTGAATTGAGCTGCTATAACCATTGATGCGGCTGCGTCACTGTAAAACACTGATTTTAAGTCCTTTGGTTATAAACCAAGGAGTGGGATAACTGGGTCAAATGATGGTTCCATTCCAAGTTTTCTGAGGACTTTACATACTGCTTTCCATAGTGGTTATACCAATTTTCAGTCCCACCAGCAATGTATGAGTGCACATTTTCCCCCACATCCTTGCCAACACTGTTGCTTATATTCTTGATAATTGTGGAATGGAGATATGTCTAAAATCTTTTTAATCAAAGTGGTAGAGCACATGCTTAGCATTATGGTTCAATGCCCTATACCAAAAAATAAAAATCCAAAGCTAAAAACTAAAAGTTTTGGTTTGAAATCAGTGAGATCCCATGAGGCCCTCCAGATGTTTAACTCATAAAAACACACACATTTAAAGTATAGGCTGCCTCAAATGGAGGGAGTTTTCTTTTCTTCTGTTGCAATACTGACCTGCCTTACCCAGACTGGAAACAAAGTGGGGCGCAACTGTATATGATCAGATATAGGAAAATATTTAAATACCAAGTGACTACATTAATGCCGTTTATTATTAATCCCTTGCTAAGCTATACCACATTACTGGTTTATTCTCTAAATGTCTGTTATTATTGTCATTTATCCTTCCAAACAACATGTATATCTAATACACGGTGAGCATGTAGGTTTCTAAGGTACTGACAGTGTAAGACAGCAATAACAACTAATATGAAAGATGGGAAGAAAAGTTAGAATCCAAGACAATAATAAAGACAAAATTGAAGGGAACAAGCAAAACTTCTGAGGGCCTCGTAATCTAATGAGAGAAGAGTTGTTTAACTGTAGACTTAATGTAAAAAAAGTAAAATAAGCTATTTATTACAATAACAGAAATAGAATGTATAGAATTTAAACCAGTGGAGGAAAATAAAGAAAATCAGATGAAATCAACAGAGAGGAGAATAGCAGTAAGAAATAACTTGATGAAAGAAGACCAGTCATATGCTAAAGGTTCTTTACCTTAAGCCTATGTCACCTACCAGTCCAGAAGTGAGATAAAGAAATTTATGATGGGTTATATTCCTCAGTTACTAAACAAAGCCAGCACATACTGGAAGGGAAAAAAGAAGCTGGATTGGACAGTACGCCTGTACTGTCAAGGGACTGTTATGGTTTGGATGTTAGGTGTCCCCCAAAAGCTCATGTATAAGAAAGTACAAGACGGTTTAGAAGAGAAATGAACAGATTACGAGAGACTTTACCCAATCAGTGAATTAATCCCCTGATGAGATTAACTGAGTGGTAACTGAAGGCAGGTAGGATGTGGCTGGAGGAGGTGGATTATTGGTGTGCCTCTGGGGTATCTAGTTGGCAAGTGGTGAGTGGAGTTTCTCTCTGCTTTCAGATCACCATGTGAGCTGCTCCCCTCTGCCACACTCTTCTGCCATGATGTTCAGTCTCACCCCAATCCCCAAGGAAAGGAGCCTGCTGTATATGGATGGGACCTCTGAAACTGCGAGGCCCCAAATAAACTTTTCTTCCTTTAAATTTGCTCTTGTCAGTTCTTTTAGTCACAGCAGTGAAAAAGCTGACTAAAACACAATACACCTGTTTATAAAAATGAAGACTCTGATCACTGAGGTTGTTAAGTTAAATTTGTGTATTTGTGAGCAGTAAGTAAACACCCATTTGAAAATGAGTATAACTGACTTCCCTAACCTTGACTTTTAGACTACACTCTGTAAAAATAGTTGGTGAAAACAGAAACTCAACTGAAGAGTTAACATAACTTTAAGATGTTTTAAAAATGTATTGCTCAATGGCACTAAACAGTTATTATTAGTTGCTTTGTAACTCATGAGGGGAAATGACTCTGAGTTACAACATTCTGATTTAATATTTATGAGACTACTCTTCACTAAGATGATAATTTCCACAGAATATAATTTATAAAAGAAAAAGAGAAGTGGGACATTACTTTTGGGGGCAGTATACTTTTTCCTTCTCTCTTTAGGGGAAAAGTTTGTATTCTATCTAAATCATCAAACAGTGTATGCTTTAAATACCAACAGTAGAGTACAATGATTCAAGTAGCAAATCAGTGACACCAAAACTTGAATATTCTTCTGATTTAAATGCCTAGTTATTATTAGATTCAAGGAGATCAGCATTAAAATTCACAAAATCAAAGAACTTTTTGTGTAATTATGTAACAAATTATCCAAACTGGGGTACTTCTGAGAATGAAAAGTAGAAATATTTTATTATAAAAAAAACCATAAAAATTGAATATGACAATGGAGTGCTAGGTGATTGTCCAATATGTGTATATATCGTGTAATGTTTGTATCAGGTTAAACATACCTATTTTCTCAATCATCTATCATTTGTTCATGGTGAAGATATTCAATATCCAGTTTTCTAAGACATATACTACATAATTTATATTGTCTTTAGTTACCATTAATTTGCAATTCCATACCAAACTTCTATTCCTATTTCACTGTAACTTAGTATCCATTGGTCAACCTTTCCCCATCCCTCCTTATCCCTAACTATTCTTACTGGGATGAGGCAATATCTGGTTTTCATTTGCATTTCCCTGATGATTTTTCTGTTGGACATCATATGTCTTCTTTTGAGAAATCTCTATCCAGGTCTATTGCCTATTTTTAAATTGAGTTTTTTGCTTTTTTCTTACTGAGCTTTTGGAGTTCCTTATATATTTTGGATATTAACCTCTTGTCATATGTATATAGTTTGCAAATATTTCCTTCCATTCTGTAGTCTGTCTCTTCATTATGTTGCTTGGTTCCTTTGCTGTGTAGAGACTTTTCAGTTTGATAAAATCCTATTTTTGTTTTTATTTCCTATATTTTGGAGTTTAGTCCACAAAATCCTTACCCATCCTGATGTTCTGAAGGTTTTTCCCAGTTTTCTTCCAGTAGGATTCAATTTACTAGTTTCAGTTTTTATATTTAAGTTTGGAGATTGAACCCAGGGCCTCATATATGTTAGGCAAGTGTTCCACACTGAGCAACACCCCAGCCCACACATTTAAGTGTTTAATTAATTTGAGTTGATTTTTTTCTTTCGATACCGGGGATTGAACTGAGCCACATCCCCAGCCCTATTTTGTATTTTTAAATTTAGAGACAGGGTCTCACTGAGTTGCTTAGCACCTTGCATTGCTGAGGCTGGCTCTGAACTCGTGATCCTCCTGTCTTAGCCTCTAGAGCTGCTGGGATTTCAAGCATATGACACCATACCAGGCTTGGGTTGATTTTTGTTAGTGATAAGAAGTAGGAGGTCTAGTTTTATTCTTCCGCATGTGTATACCCAATTTTCTCAGCATGATTTACTGAAGATACTGTCTTTTCTCCAATGAGTGTTCTTAGCACCTCTACTGAAAATCAACTGGCTGTAGATGCATGGGGTTATTTCTCTATGCTCAATTCTGTTTTGGTCTGTATGTCTGTTTTTATGTCAACATCATGTTTTTATTACTATTGTTTTGAGGTGTAGTCTAAAATCAAGAAGTGTGATACCTCCAGATTTGTTCTTTTTGCTCAAAACTGCTTTGCCTGTTTGGAGTCTTTGTGGCTTCCATGAATTTTAGAATTATTTTTTCTAATTCTGTGAAGAATGTCATTGGTATTCTGATGAAGATTGTATTGAATATGTAAATACTTTGGGAATTATAGACCTTTTAATAATATTAATTCTTCCTCTGTGAACATGGAAAGAACATAAACATTTTTTGTGACATTTTTTTCCATAGGAGTTTTGCAAATTTTTTTTTTTTTTTTTTTTGGTATAAGTCCTTTTCCTTCTTGGTTAAATTTATTCCTAGGTATT